AGATGTGGATCACGAAGCAGGAATACGACGAATCTGGCCCAAGCATTGTCCACCGGAAATGCTTCTAATTCCCCATTCGTTTGTTTCGATCCTAATTTAATATATTACTCCTTCAATCTAGTCTTGTTATTTGTTTGTGGATGTGCCGAGCCGATAAATAGGATGGTATTTACGGTGTGCTGGTGGATTCCTTGTTTGTTTCAGGATTGTGTCGACGCAACTAAGGTTTATTTCGATATGTGCAAAAATGTATAATCACGTCGCCAAACTGTACGCCATCTTGCTTATCAAACCTTGTCAAGATCTCGACTTTGGGCAAATCGATTTATGGGTTCCATCTCACTGCCATTTTTAACAACTCTGAGAAATGAGGCCGTGTAAACTTTACCACATTTACGCTATTAGACCGTGAGTATATTTCCGTCATGCGAGTGCTAGCTCAATTTGAGGGCGTAGCCGTTTTGCGCATTTGTGTGCGCGTGTTTAAACACATGTTTAACGCGGCTTGAAGAGCAGTCGAAATCCAACCCACGAGTGACTTTTCAATCCAACACAATGGTGCTGACTGCCGCGGATGACAGCATCATTCCGCTGGTTGTCGACACCGGCTCGAGTGGCTGTCGGGTTGGTTTTGCTGGCGACGACAACCCCAAGGTGGACATCGCCAGTGTCAAACGCGGTGGATGGAAAACCGAGCGTCAGCCCATCCAGCGAGGAAATGTAGTCGACTGGGAGGGTTTGGAATGCCTCTGGTGGGAGGCGCTTTCCCAGAACCACATCACCTTCATGGATCACCCGCTCCTCTTCACGGAGAACCCAGTTTCGCCAAAATTTAACCGAGAAAAAACCGCTCAAATTGCCTTCGAAAGCTTCGGAGTGCCAGCTGTCTACATGTCGAATCAGGCTGTACTTTCTTTGTACTCAGCTGGGAAGACTACGGGACTTGTGTTGGATTCTGGACATGGGGTCACACACAGCGTTCCGGTTATCGAGGGGAACGTGATTTACCCTGGAGTTTGCACCATGGAACTCGGGGGAGTCGATCTAACCGACCACCTGCAGAAACTCACAGGAATGACGGAGTCCTGCCAAGTGTTGAAGGAGAAGGTGTGCGAGGTCGCACCTCACCCAGATATCACTGACACCTCCCAAGTCAAATTCACTCTTCCAGACGGCAGAGAAATTTCGGTGGGGGCTGAGCGGTTCCGGTGTCCTGAGGTGCTTTTTCGGCCTGATCTGATCGATGCTGGGTGTCTGGCGGTTCACGAGGCGGTGTATCACTCGATCTTGAAAAGTGATCGCGACATGCGACGCGAGATGTACGCGAACCTAGTGCTCGCGGGCGGATCGACAATGTTTCCAAACTTCGAGGAACGACTGGTGCGGGAGATTGCTGTGATTGCTCAGTCCACCTCCAAGGTCACCATCACGACCCCACCAGAAGGTGGCAGGTTTTCGGCGTGGCTCGGGGGATCCATCCTCGCATCCCTCTCCACCTTCCAGAAGATGTGGATCACCAAGCAGCACTACGATGAGTGCGGACCGTCTGTAGCTCATCGAAAGTGTAATTAACAAAGTGACGCTTGGTAATTTAGACATGTAACTTTAAGTTTGATTTTATCAAACCAGTTTGGGTAAATAACAGTTCAAACGTTCTGTTTTTTGTAAGTTGTTGTATCATTTTAGAATGATATTTGGAGAGCATTTCAACATGCAATTAACTGATTTGATAATTACGTGACACTGCCACGAGTCACTGCCTTAACGCTAGATGCGATTTATTTCAATGCCGTGAGGTTAATATTGTCTGACATCATTCCAAATACTGTTTGCATGGAATGACTCTAAATTTTCCTGAAAATTGTTTGTCGAAATCGTTTAGGATGACTTTAAATAGACAAAAGGTTTGAGCTTTCGGAGGCGTTTTTCCAAAGACATTTTCCATGTTGAATGTAATGCGACACATCATTGTCGTGCTCTCAGACGATAATTCCTGCTGTCTAGCTAAATTAGGCAAAAGTCGTGTTCTGAGAGGTTCACGATCTTCACTTGAGTGGGCGCGGTGCATATCATCTTACTTAAACACTTTGCAACAAGACCTTCCAACCTCCCAGTCGAGCAAGTGACAAGCTCCGTCAGTTTTGTGCATTTTACTTGCTAATTCATTTCCAGATACCAAGTCGGACTTTTGGCATTTGCGTGAGTCACTATCTTGTAAACTTTACCGTGACAAGATTATCCAGGATCTTGTTGACGGCCCCGGTAAGCGGTCTTGAATCTAGGTACGACTACGCCACACAAACAACACGGAAACGGGAGATGGCAGAGACAATCGTCTAGCAGATGGCTCAGCCTAGTTGCATTGTTGTGTGTGCGAATGCGCTCCAAGTCGTGTGGGCATGGAAAGTTGTCCACCCCTTCAGCGAGGGTGAACTAGCAACAGTACAACTAACTGAATGATCAGATGAGTTGAAAGGGTGGAAGAGGGGGTGCATGCACTGGGGTGTTTAAGCAGACGGTCTGTGGCGGATTAGCGGCGATCGCGCCTGAGTGGACCCTGGTTACCGACCTGACGGTGACAACGACTCATCCCGTTTCCATTGGTTACTGTATCAGATGCCTGTCATCCGTTCACTCATCCACACACTTGGCTAGCGTGGCCCATTTCGCTATATTTGTAGCGGATTAGCAGCGATCACGACCGAGTGAGCCCTGGTCACCGACCTGACGGTGACAATGACTCATCTCCTCTCTCATTGGTCACTGTATCAGATGCCTGTCATCCGTTTACTCATCCACAAACTAAGATACACTTGGCTGGCGTGACGCTAATAAACCGTCGTGTACACCGTCGCCTCTTTTGCTAATCTTCTCGGGTTGTTTCGGGCTGTTAACTAGAGAGTTGTAAGGTCGTGCTAAGTCTCTAGGTACTACAGGTCTCACGTGAGTGACAGTCACGCTGTGACAATGGGGTGGTGCTGTGTTGGTGATTTCAACGACGTGGTCGATGGTTGTCAATGGACACGATTCACCACAAACTGACGAAAAGCCCATCATTTAATCAGCGTGGGGAGTGAATGTGTGCAGGACTTTTACCGGAAGGCGAATACACTGAAGCCACTTGTCAGATAAGGATTATTAAAGAAGCGATTACCTATCTTTAACTGCCCGTTTCAGTTGCTGATAATGCCCTGTGCGAAACGGCAAAAACACGACTAAGAATCCAAGGTCAAAGGCAACATCATCGTCGTCATCACAATTTATTCAACTGCTTTAAGAGTCCCCGACCATTACTCTTTGGCCCCGAGCTAATTTCTCCCTAGCCAAGTGGGTAAATTAAAGGTTGTTCAGCCCTGGTCGTGTCGCTTCATAAACATCTTCTCCTTTTTCTGGCTCTCCTGAGTGCTAAGGAGGAAAGCGATGGTAAAGTGTCGACCTACCACAGCACCTCAGGTTATTGTTGTTAAGGCCACACGATTATTACACCAATGAATGCGCAGTCAACACGGTTCATAAGTCGTGCATTTTTAGGGTTCATTAAAGAGATTTCACCTGAATGCAAATTTTGAATGCAAGAGTAACCCGAGTGTGCATCGTGTTGAGTCATCGCTCATTAATTTCATACTTCATAACCAGGAGAAGTGGAATCCTTAAAAGCTTGTACTTTTTTGTACTTTTACAAGAGAACCCCCACCCAAGTTATGGTGAAAGCCATCCGGCATCTGCTCGTGTGGCGAGATTAATTTCCATAAACAAGTTACAATCAATACCTAGCTGAGAAAAGTGACTTGTGATACTGGAATGGCATATTAATATTTCTGATTGGTCTACAGCACGAAGAACCCAAGGGAGGAACGAGAGTGGTTCAATCGTTTACTCAACCAAGTTGGGCCTATCGCGCCATGGTGCATAAAAGCGTCTGATTAATATGGATTTCTGACCATTTTATGTCTGGGTGGGGCTGTGTAGGTACAATTTGAAGTGATCAAATATTTGTGTGGGTAAACAAGACAACCTGTTCTCGTGCTGTTCTCAGGACCACAACTCCTATCCATCAGTCGAAGTACTGGGTGCATGGAATCAATACAAGTAACCCACAAAGAGTTCCTTTGAGGAGGAGGTTTAATACGCAGGTTTTGATTTTTGTTCATCCACTTGAATTTGATTAAGGTGATAGAAAAGTCTATTTTTTGAATCAAAGAACGAGTTTTTTGATTCGGCTTACAAAAGAAGGCACGAGAAGAAATTCGCCGCACAGAACGCAAGGGAACACCCGCTGCCAGACCTGGCGACTACTTCCAAGTCTACTGCATTCTGATTGGCTAATTCCAGACGCTTGAGAAGCGAGGATTGACTAGGGAGACCGGGGGTGAGGTGGCTCATTCCGCCGTCAGCGTCTCGGTGATTCATGTCGTGCAATTGAGCCACACACACACGTACACAGACGAAACTTAGCAGCCTTAAAGTTGGAATCACTCCTAGGACATAACTGTCATGAGAGACGTTGAGCAGGGTAATTAAATGGCTACGTGTTTTGCTCAGTAACGTGGCTTATCAGATACAAGCAAATTCCTATTATTTTTAAACGGAACAGTGCAACTTGTCGAAGGATGAGTTTTAGTGAATCGGAAAGGAATTAGAAGAAGCATAGAACCAGAGACAAACCGTGCGCAGTTTCGGCTACGCAAAAATAAACGAGTGCACAAAAATTTACCACGACTGACTTCACTCCAAGTGACAAAGGCTTCATATGGAACACGGCCGAAAGTAAAACAAAATGGGTCTGGAAAACAGGTCTGATTTCGAGGTCTCCTCAGTCGTATGACTAACAAAACGGAAGCTCTGACTTCGTTTTACACCACTCCTGACAAGCACGCGTGGAGAGCAGCATGCGAATACGGCATGTTCGTTCCTGATTGCTAATCGTGCTCGCATGCTGCTCGCCACGCGTGCTTGTCGGGAGTGGTGTAAAACAAAACCGACTCACATCTCCGAAATTGACCCAAGGCTCCAAAGACAATCGAATGCTTATTTGTCCGTTAGCGTGTGCCAAACCCCTGTTTCCTTGGGAAGACGCCTAGCCAGGATCGAAGCAGCAATCGATGCCCTGGCAATTAACGGTTCACAAGGTGGAAAATACAGCTTATTTCGACGGAACCGCTCACATTCTCGCCGAAGATCCTCTTCACGCTCGTTGTCCCGAGGTTTGTGGTGGTATCCTGCAACCTTCGGCCGTGCAGCCCGACCTTGTAGGCCCCGGAGTGGGTACGCTGATTCAGACTCGCCCACACAGTCGGGAAACGAGAATGCCCGGCAGTGGTGGCGTCGACAGCTAATGGGTACCTAAGTCGCCGCCTTTTCCTACCCGACAAGTCAACTGGTATGCGATTCTTGTTCGACTCAGGAGCCGACATATCCGTTGTCCCTCCATCGAGCTCTGGAAAATGGTCCCCAAATCCCTTCTTTGTTTTCTCCGCCGCCAATGGTTCTCCCATCTCCACCTACAGACAGAGATCTCTCACGCTCGTCTTAGGACCACAACGCCAGCTGACCGTTCCAAGAGAATCGATTATCACCAAGAGAATCAAGACACTTGGATTGAATTTTGCAGTTTTTAACCGACATTCGTCACATCCAAGGCAAGGACAATACGGTAGCTGAGGCACTATCTCGTTCGCACATCGACGCTGTAAATACAGGTACACATGTGAAATTAGAGGATATGGCGATCACTCAGCAATCTGATGAAGAATTGCAAGGGTTCCATCGATCAAATGCAGTCTGAAAGCTAGTCGAAGCCCCTCCACCTTCATCCACACGTACAATCGTCTGCGACATTTCAACGGGTGTGCAACTTCCTTTCGTACCTAAGCCGATGCGATGCCAAGTATTCCACGTTCAGTATGCAACACGGAAGCTGATCTCTAGCCGTTATGTTTGTTCTGTTATAAATCGCGATGTTTCACAGTGGGCTAGAAATTGTGTAAGCTGTCAAATATCGAAGGTGGACGAACACAGCAAGACACCAGTTGGACCCTTACCGCACTCGAATGGTTTCCGTTACCTTGTGTCTTGCTCTGATCATTCTACCCGAGGCAAGACATCTCCGCCGAAACCGTACCTAGAACATTCGTTGACAGATAGATTGCCTTATTTGGAGTCCCCTCCACCATCACCACCGATCGCGGAACTTAATTTGTATCAAGCCTGTTCCAAAATCTCACACGACTTCTGCGGACGAACCGCATTCGAACGACTGCCTACCACCCTCAGTCAAATGCGTTTACAATTCACATGCATGCATGTGTGTAAACGCGTTAACATCAACCGAAAGCGACCACACTTTGCGATCATGTTCTAACCGGAGAGTTGGGTGTGGCCTGGCTGTTGGACGTCAGCACGAGGAATCACCGAATGTGTCGACCAATGGCGATGCGTCGATGTCCGCCCGAGCTAGTTAACAAACACTGCATTATTAATTATGTCCAATTGCTTTTGAAGCTAATCATGCTCATTCACGTCCGTTAACCCGATCTTTGAATCTCCGCCACCCTGACCTCTGTTGAGGGCCCCGGCATGTTGTCTTGAACCACGTCGGGCCACTGCTACAATCTACGCCGAATACGTTACCGCGAAGATAAAGAAGACCGGAGTGTTGAAGGCACAACCGTTTACTATACAGCTCAACCAAGTTGCGTTTTGATTACTGGTACAATTGAGTGTACTAGTAAAAATACAGGCGTCTGAATGGTCACATGGATAAGGCGGGTGGTGGTGGTGGTGGCGGCGGCGGCGGTGGTGGTGGTGGTGGTGGTGGTACACAGAGGTGTTAATGAGCAGGCGGTTCCAGTGACTGACGGGCACGCCGTGAAAAGGTGGATGTGTGTGTGAGGCTGCGAGGACGGGGTGTTTAACGAGAATCAACACGATTCACTACACCCCCTTTCCTAGGCGCCCCTGTCGACCATGTGTACCTCCCCCACACTACCCCTTTCATTCATCTAGTCACTCAGCCATTTGTACTTTTACAGGTTTATTTAGATGGCATTGGTCAACAACCTCCATAAACCAGACATGACATTTTATGCACAAGGCGGGACACAAAAATAGTTTGAGCCACCCAATAAACGGCTGTCTCTACCGTCTCCGGTCTTCTCAGGTATGTGTGGCTTAGTTGGGTCCCGGTGTAGTAGGAGGACATATGCATAAAGTAAAAAGCGACATGACAAGGGAAGTACCCTAGTTGTTCACCAATTTAACTTGATGCGTCAATGTGTTGAGTACACAAAGAGGAATAGTGGTCACCAGCGGATTAATGAGAAGTTGGCGAAATTGAAACCAATCTATGCTTAACACGTCAATGAGAATATAGAATGCTCTAGCCGTAGTATGAAAATAACTGGTACAGTTGGGCGAGTTTTATTGACCAATCACAAGCCAGAAGCGTACATCGGGCATTTTTCATCAGAGTACCCCACACTGGCTTCGCCGCTCATTATATGCTGTTGCTAGTCCGTCCTTGTCTCTGGTTGGCTGCAGATCTTACTCTAAGGCCATTCAAGCCATCAAAGATATGGGATTGGCGGAACTCGGTGTGAGCCAAGATGTCTGCTCCTTGGTGCCCACTATTGTAGAATACCCGAGCCCCAATAAGAAGAAGACTGGTACAACAGAACAGGCTTTATTGACCAATCACAAGTCAGAGCCGCAAGTCAGGCGCCTTCCATCCGAGTCCGCTATGGTGGCCACGCCACTCATTATATACCGGTTCTCATGCCAGTCTTTCCCTGGTTGGCTGCCTATCTTCCTCGCATGCCATTGAAGCGCAAAGAGACAGAGGACTAGTTGAGGCCAGCGTGGTCCATTATGTCTGCGCCCTCAGGCGTCGCCACGCTACAACAGTTCTTTCTCCCATTAGCAAATTTCATTTAAAGTCATAAACGGAAATGGCATAAAACCGATTGCTATCCATTGATATCGCGCATTCCATAATCTGCTTATACTCACAATGCGACAAATTCGACTTACTTTCTGTTTAGTGATAAAACCCCAATCTTCAACACCCCTATTCGTAACCTTGGAGATTTTAAGCATGTTAGTCACGTGATACTAGATGTTCCTTATTCTAACACAACGTCGATCACAGCAATAAAAGATCCTAGACGCATTTTTACGAACACCTGCCGACCTTGTGCCTCAACGACAATGCCTCGTTGACCTACGCAAACGATACCACAATGCCTGTGCAAAGTGTAGCCGACATTACTGTCATTCTGGTCGATAGTAAACACCCTCGCCAAACCAATTTGTGATCTACAAAGTCCACGGAGGTGGATTGTCAGAGGAGGCCCATGTTTGAACGAGTGTACTCAACGATGACTCGTGACTTCTCACCACCATTAATTGACAGGACGTTGTTTAACACTTCCCAAGGTCAGTCAAGGCCACTACTTTTGTGATGTGATTGTCCAATGCCATTTCATGTACTTTAAGGCTCGCTCATAGCTGGAAATTGAAAAATGGAATATGCAGTTACATTACAGAAAAAAACTTGGATGAAATTTCGATAAAATCAACATTCAGACACTTTGAAATTGATACAGTGATGATTGGAGTTGAAGTAAGAAACATCATTTTTGTGTTTAATGTGGTAACTGAAGCTTTCTAGAAGCACTTCCGGTGAACGATGCCAGGACCGCATTCCTCGTACTCGAGCTTGGAGATCCACATTTGCTGGAAGGTGGAGAGCGAGGCCAGAATGGATCCACCAATCCAGACGGAGTACTTGCGTTCCGGTGGGGCTGCAATTCTAATCTTCATCGTTGTGGGTGCCAGCGCGGATATCTCCCTTTGCATTCGCTCTGCGATACCCTGAAACATTGTAGAACCACCGGACAACACGGTGTTGGAGTAGAGATCCTTCCGGATGTCCACGTCGCACTTCATGATGGAGTTGTACGTTGTCTCGTGGATGCCGGTGGCTTCAAGACCCAGAAAACTCGGCTGGAACAGTGCCTCGGGGCACCTGAATCGTTCGTTCCCAATTGTAATCAGCTGACCGTCTGGAAGCTCGTAGGAGCGCTCAATTATTGAACTAGACATTGCCGTCATCATTTCCTGCTCAAAATCGATGGCAACGTAGCAGAGCTTCTCCTTGATGTCGCGAGCGATTTCGCGTTCAGCGGTTGTGGTGAAGCTGTATCCACGTTCAGTCATAACCTTGACAAGGTAGTCAGTGAGGTCGCGACCGGCAAGGTCCAGACGTAGGATGGCGTGTGGCAGAGCGTAGCCCTCGTAGATGGGGACGGTGTGAGTCACACCATCGCCGGAATCCAGAACCACTCCAGTAGTTCTACCTGACGCGTACAAAGAGAGGACGGCCTGAATGGCCACGTACATGGCGGGGACGTTGAAGGTCTCGAACATGATTTGAGTCATCTTTTCACGGTTTGCCTTTGGGTTGAGAGGAGCTTCGGTGAGGAGAACGGGGTGTTCTTCGGGGGCAACACGGAGTTCGTTGTAGAAGGTGTGGTGCCAGATCTTCTCCATGTCATCCCAGTTCGTGACTATGCCGTGTTCGATGGGGTACTTGAGTGTGAGGATGCCTCTCTTGGACTGTGCCTCATCGCCGACGTAGTTGTCCTTCTGTCCCATACCAACCATAACACCCTAAACAAACGACTTCTGATGTTATTTATTCCAGGTGTCATTAGCATGATAAACTCGATTCCAAATCATATAGCTCGAAACTGTGTGGTGAATTTGTTTGCTAGCACGAAAATTTGCACCAAAAAGATTGGCCTTTCGTTAACGATACTTTAAGAAAAGCGAAATAAATGAGGTATCATGGGTTGCCACAGAAGCGTCAATTACGTAAGACTATAAATGAATCGTTTAACGGGGAGAAAATTATGAAAATTCAGTACTCTTGAAGGACTTGCATATTTGGATTATCGCAGCTGCCAAAACTTGGCTAATTCACGCCTCTACTCCAGCCCACCACCGTTCCAATTCATGAAAACAGCAGTCAAATTTAACGGCTTCAGGCGCACATCAGTTGCATGTTTCACGTCTGCGAACGTCGGTGCCCGATCGGTAAGTCCTCTGTGATTGGTTCCTACCTGCCTCGAGTTCAGGTAATTTATCGATTTCAATGACATTGATGATTTTTTAACCCAAACCTGAGCCACATAGGCAACACAGCCAGAGTGCATCGAACACAACTTATTTTAACCTTGGGATAACACGATAATATGACGCGTTGCAGAGTGCTGTGCTTACCTGATGCCGCGGGCGGCCAACAATCGAGGGGAAAACAGCACGAGGGGCGTCGTCGCCAGCGAAACCCGCCTTGCACATACCCGACCCATTGTCTATCACGAGAGCTGCTGTATCCTCGTCAGCCATGTCAACAAAATGGCGACTCACCGAACCTTCCGAAATTTTTATACGCGTCCGAAACTGCGGAGAAGACCATCGTGTCGACTGCACAGTAGTCGCGTGACCTTAACACGACGCTGCGCTATTACGGCGGTAATCCACGAGCACGGTCATAAAACCCAACCACGAGAAATTAACCAAACAGACTTATCGAGTCCATGACGCCAAATTTAATGCGCGACATTTGGTGACATAGTCAACTTAAAGAGTTCCCGTTACAAAATAGCTAAACTCAGAGTTCTAGGAACTAAGGTTGTTTGTACTTCAAACACTGCCATTTGTATTCAAAAGATGATTTTCACTTTACAGGCGACGCCATAGTCTAACTTAAGAAGTCGGAAACGGTACGTAACAACTTGAAATTGATTGGTCAATAATCGAGTCTCTGAGGCATTAACTTGTGATTAGTGGGAATAATGCTCCCCAATTCTCTCTCGTGCAATCGTCGACAACACGATCGAAGTTATAGAAATGGATTGCCACCTCGAACAGCCGTTCCTGAGTTTTCCACAAAAATTGTAAGTAGATAACTCTCCAAAATCTATTTTACAAATTAGTCAATACTATCAAGGTATCTTTTTATTGACCATGGTGGTTTTTATTTCATTAACCGGCGTACACACTTCTAGATGTGATTAAAAATGGGCCATATCAACTAATACAAAATAACAATCGAAATTCCAACTCAATTTCTCCGTATGGGAAACGTGAAATTTCAGAATAATTTTTATTGATTTTTGGCGGACATTGATTGAGGGGTTATAAAGACAACAGACACACTGAGGAAGTGGTTTTCAGGCAAATTCTTGGAGAATTTCCGCGCACTACACGGTGATCACGTCTCCACACACACTTCTAACTTACTCCAGTCGATCCTAACTCCGTACTCTTAAATTTAAGTAGACCACAAATGTTTGCGGAGTGGTCAGTCGAATTCTCGCACTCCTTTCAGTGCTTATATCGCCAATTATGTCGGGAATCGTCATGGGTGCCCTGGACTGTATGATTTTCGTGGTCGCTCTCCGTGGATGATAACACGCAGAATCGAGCTGAATAACACTAGACTGGGGGCGGACGATGCGGACAGCGTGGTTGTCGGGCGTGGTGTGGAACGTTTGTTCAGTCAGACGACTTGTGTGATTCAACAAATCACTTGAGGGGGTCGACCGCCAAGCGGTACTTTCGGCTAGCTTCCATGACTTGGTCCCATTAATGACCGAATTCGACCGTGTCAAATTTTTCAACGTTTGGCTGATTTTGTGTAGCTGAAACTGTTAACTTTTTTGCGTCTGGTCCTATGTTTCTTTTAAGTTTAGTCCGATTTATTAGAACTCTGCCCACGAACATATGCAACAGCGCTGGCTCCGTCCGTTTAGAGGAAAGTTAAAATTTGCAAAGCCAGGTTTCAGACCTCAAGGCCGTTGAGTTTCGTCTGTGTACGTGTGTGTGCAGCGGAGTAACAACAATCGCGCCGGAGTTAACCCTGGTTATCAACCTGACGGTGACAATGACTCATCCCCTCTCTCATTGGTTACTCTGATCAAACGCCTGTCATCCGTTCACTCATCCACACCCTAACTAACACACTAGGCTGGCGTGACGCTAATAAACCATCGTGTTCACTGTCGCCTCTTTTGCTAATCTTGGGTTGTTACGGGCTGTTAACTAGAGAGTTGTAAGGAAGTGCTTAGACCACTAGCCACTACATGTGTGTGTGAGACTGTTGTATGACATGAATCAACGAGACGCTCAGCGCGGAAGAGTCACCTCACCCCTGCTCTCCCTAGTCAATCCTCGCTTCTCAAGGGTCTGGAATTAGCCAATCAGAATGCAGTAGACTTGGAAGTAGTCTCCACGTCAGAGAGCGGAGAATTTCTTCTTGTGCCTTCTTTTCAAGCCGACTGAAAAATAGGCACTTTTTTTCCGTAAAAACTATACTTCTCTACTTCATTGTCAAAATCCACAACCACAACTAAAATCGCCCTTTGCACACACTTTGATTGATGAATGGTCTTGGTAATCGCAAGAAAACAGCTTATCGTACTTACCTTCATTCGTTCTCCACACAAATTTTTCATTTCATTACGTTCGCCTTTTCTAATCTACTGATTTCTGTTTGTCAGTTTGAGGGAGTTGTGCCAACATTATTTAAACTCGTTCCTGACCGTAACTTGCTCCTGCAAATCTATTCAAGCATACGATGGATTTCAATGAAACCAGGAAGTTTAATTTGTAGAAGTACACAGTAAGCCAAGTTTTGTACTTTTTGTCAGGGAGTCATAGGTGGGAAATCAGAAGGACCTCATCAGAGAAATTACCGGACAATTTCGTTTGGTGACTTTTTCGTGAGGAATGGTCTCTGCATAGGACATGCTAAATTTCGTCTTTTGGCAATCAGTTCTCTCAAACACGCGGAACATTTGTGGAAGTTATTCTCCTCACTAAACTGTGTTAACAGACACTAACTTCTTATTGCTTCGATTAATCCTATTTTTTTCCTTATATAATGCTTTATCTTTTGAAGGCGCTCACGAATTATTCTGATTAATGAGCACTTCCACCTGTTGCCATATATGGTAATCGCCAGAGCAGCAAAACCCGAATTTGCCAGCCTTCCAAATATGGTCATTGGAGGGTGCTCTCACGCACGACGGTTGGCACAAGGTGAACTCAGTTCACGCCGTGGCCTCGTGCTAGCGCAAATTACCTAGCGAGACCGTGCGTGCGTGTGTGTGTGCGTGCAGCAATTAGCGCGAATGCGCGGTGCGTGCGTGCGTGCTGCACGAGTGAGTTTGCAGTTCGTACTTAAACTGAAATAATTCAATAATAGTGATAATACTAGCATTCTCAGGCCTCAAATCTGAACCAACACACCGCACAGTCGTATTGCTCCATTTTAAAATTGCCAATGCTTCGAAGTATCCCAGTAACTAGTAATGCAATTCACTTCATTAAAACGTGGAAGGATAGCCCTTATTGATTCATCCTCCGGCTTTTCAACCCAAGGTCAAATCAAACAAATAACTTAATTTCGCTTTAAACGGGGCGAATAAGCATATGAATTTTCATTCCTTGGTAATAATGACTACATGTAGTGGTTCATAATGTTCGTATAAAAAAAACATCAACTTGTTCTCAGGAAGGAACTCGGAAATGTGCAAAAGGCCGTAGAATCGAGTCATAAATGACGTGTTTTTGTCTTGTTTCCGTTTGAAAATCAGCCCACTTCGGGAATGTAAGTCTCAGTTGATTCTATTTCACTACCCAAAATATGCCCAAATTAGTGGGTTCACAAGCGATTCGTTAGCTTTACTAGCAGAAGGTATTTAGTGACGAGAATTTATGGCCGTCTAGGCATTTAAACGTTTTTTGCCGTGGCAAATATGTTTATTCATCTGTTTAGTTGACCTGCTGCGGTAGCTAACGTTAAAAAATGGGTTATGGCAAAAAATTTTCACAGATGACAAATCCACTCGCTGACAGCTGTACTGAAACTTCATTTGTAATCACATTATCAACTGCCAGTTATCTAAGTGCGTCATTAGTCAAATTGACTTTGATAGAGGGAAAAAATTTCGTACTAACTTCCTCCACGTTGCCAAACAATAACTTGGATGCTGGAATCTAACCACCACACAAGCCGTCAATCTTTCACTATGACCTCACCGGATCATATTCAGATCAATAGACGCAGGATGTTGGAATGGAAGATCTTTAAAGTCACCCACCATCTTCCTCTTACATTTCCCCTTCACTTTTTCATGTGCTTCGTTCTCTGAAGTAGTTAAAAGATAGGTAATGAGATGCCCAGAAGAGAAACCAAACAGTGTCCACAAAAGAGTAACTCAAAAACATGAAACGTTGGGTGAGATTCATGGAAGGTGATGGAGAGAATGCGGTTGAATTGACGCTTCGAATCGTCCAAGCACTTTTATCTGACCTTGCATTAATTAAATAAGCGAGGGGCCAACCGGTATTACTTCTACACTAGTTAGCGATGAGAATGTGCTAAAATTAGGCAAGTTGACAGGGCGTTTCAAAGAACCTCCACCTGGTGTTGAATCAGTGAGCAATCGGTGCCTCAACCCTCTTATCGATGATTAAAAGTGTAGGTGAATCTTTGAGCCTCTTGATTACAGCTGAGGTAAAGGGGTTTCAACTGGTTTAGATACCAAGCCAAGGCACTTGGCATTCGCTCACTGCCAATGCGCACACCCCTCATGTTGCATCCAGTTATGAGCTAACATTTAGAAGACTGTATATGCTGTTGCAGTTTAAGGGTTTTCTCAGACCAAAACAATTTAATCTAGTTCTTGTGAATCCATCTAATTTACACCGATAAATTGTGCAAACTTGACATTTCAAGCTATGAACAATTTCTGGATGCCTCCTTAGCACTTGAGGCAGAATTTTCTAGAAATTTCGTGAATTTGTGCGCATGAAAATCACTCTTCTAGAAAGATCGTATAGGAATTTAGTGCAGTGGTGTTACCCCAAACAGCTAGTTGCATTTATTTATAAAAAAATATTCATCCCGACTTCATTTTTTTAGAGCAAATCACTCCTTGTGTGCCTAGCTGCTAATTCAAGACAATCCTCATGAATTTGAATCGCCTGAAAATGAGTAAAAACACACCTCACACATTGCACCAAAATTTACTGTTATTATGGTAATGAAATTGCGCTTTAATTGTGAACCTGGCGCCTAAAATGAACAAAATCTAATCTAAGCGAAATTCATGGTAGCCAGAAAGCAAAGTTTTTGTGAGTGGATCATTGAAATGTTGCAGGAAATTCCCTCATTGCCTTAAAGACCTCCTCTTCCAATCCGCAGGTATATTTTACTATTGGCTCAAAGCACCAAGTTTCAGCGACCTAAATTTTGTTGGATGATGACAAGATGCAGAAGCGAGTTTCAACATGTTAAAACCAAATATTGTTTCATTTTCTAAAGTCATTCAACGCCT